GTGTGATGGTGTCGTCATAAGTGTCGCACGTTGACGTAAGCTGCTCTAGCTTTCGCTAGCCGTTACGTGATCTCCACTCCCCCCAAACACTAGCTGCGATCAAGCTCCCGAGGTCCCTAAAGCTCTTACCACTATTTTTTTCTTTCTTGTCCCCCTAACGGCCGTGTCTCTCTACCGTAAACGGAAACCGGCCGTGCAGCTGAAATGTACACTGGACTCTTCAGAGGCAACTGAATGTTGCGGTAGCACCATCGATGTATTAGATTAACAAACACCAACTGGAAGTTTTGTATCATCCTTGATGCGTTTGTCAGATGAGTTGTAACTGCACAGATCGCAAAACGTTTCTGCTGTTTTTATGTTCTCCATTTGTAGAGTGAGGTTGAAAGCTGACTGTACAATCGGTAGAGCGATGCCCAGGTTAAACGAATAGTATGTGGTAACAGTGGTTGCGTGTGTTATGCATGTCGCCGAGTAGGCCGCCTTTGTGTATAATGTTTTATGAGACAGAAAACGGTTAGAATAATGTCGGCATTAGCCAGACTTAGTCATTTAGATTGCGTCAGACATCCTTCCTGTCTGGGGTTTACAGAGCCGGGCTAATGTATGTCTATACGTACTAGGTAACATGGAAGAATATTGAAAATATTAACTTCCGTCTATCTCATTTTCTACACACATCTAGTCTACCTGCATTCTTTATTCTTACTTCTCCGGAGAGTAAAATTGATTCTGATTATCTTGAGATGTGTCGGCCGTTATTCGTTATCGATGCAACCCTCGGTCGAGGAACATTAGTCGAATATTTGAATGTTGTCCTCAACCATTCTCTTTCTCGGTCTGAGTACATCCACAATGTGTTTGCAGAAATCAGAGGGCTCTCTGTTTTTCCCTATGCGTAAGACGATTATCCATCCCCCCTATCTGATAAAATAGTTTGTACATGCCCTATGTCTCCGCAGTGATTTTTCCTGGTTTATTACAAAAAAGATATGTGTGATCAGATCACTCAGACATTTATCCATGTGTTGTGGTTTACGCAAAACTGGCCCGATTCATCACGTAATCTTCCTACACACCAAAGCTTGTGATAAGCTGGTTCACAAAATACTTTCTGACTCCGGTCACCCACTTAACTCCGCGCTATCTAAATGTATTTCAGTCTCTTCTACTCGCTCCATGTACAAACACATTCAAGCACGCACAAAAGCGTATTACTCTTCCATAGTTTGTTATGCTGCTCGCTTTTTATGTCATCCGAGCCGTATTTTGCACTATTCGTCCACAGCTTTGATCTAGCTCTGTATTTATACGTATTTTCATTTAAATGGGGTATTCAGCAGCTGAATTTACACCAGATGGTCTAATAAAGCAATTTATTGAATTGATTTTAACACTACCCTCGACTGTTTGTTGACTTTCACTTTTTCATCGATCCATCTAATAGCTAACCGAAACAAAGCAACCGAAATTCTGTCGCTTATCGTAAAAAAGAAAGAAAAAAAGAATCACTTAATGATGATAGTACTCGTTTTGCTCGTATTTCTCACTACGACAGTTGCAAACCAAATCGATCTATCTTTCAATTGGTCTGATCATCCCAACTCTTTCCCGAAGGTTCTGGAAGAACTAGGCATCGAAATGAGTAACGAAATGGCCGGTTTACAACCCGGTAATGGTCCCTTGGGCACAGGTGCGAATGCGGCTCGTAACCGGCCGGTTGCAGTTGATGGTGCTGGACTGCCCTCGGTTAATGCCAGTGGTCCAGGGTCCACTAACGACACGATTGACGAGGATGACCTTGAAGCCCGTCTGGCTCGACTCAAGCGGGGCTGAACCGGACAATAATCCTATCCCTCATATACCAAACCGTGCCATCGCGTAATTCTCGCTATTCCCCTCCTAAAAACAAATCAACCAAAATGTTCACACACACTTACGAATCACGTGCCTCCTCCTCTCGTTAACGCTCTCGATCGGAGAAGGTTCCCGTACCTATCTTGAACGCGCTGACAACTTTATTTTTCCTATTCACACCTTTTGCAACACGAAATTTCATTACATTATCCAAATGAAGGAACCGACCGATAAAACCGCAGGAGATACGAATCTTGTTCCGGATCGGATGTGTGTACAGAACGGTTCACTTTCATCTGTGGTACATTTATTTTGTATTTGTAACTTTCGCTTGGTCGTTTCTAAATGTTCTACCGAATTTCGAAACAATTTCACACGTTGACGCAACCCGGTTCCAGCTTCGCTATCAGATTGTTTTGTTATTCTGTTGGATCACTTCCAGGCAGATAGAAGGGGGGGGGAGCAGCGCGTTGAGTATTCTTGGGAACTTATTTCATCTTAATTGCCGTTTTACATCTGTTATGATATCCTACAAAAAAGATCGATTGAGTCATAGTTGTATTTACTACACTAAATCACAAACAAAATATGATATGCGCCATCATCATTATCAGATGAACCCGTTACGGAGGTGTGTGTGTGTGTGTGTGATCAGCTTGGTTCTCCTTCTGTCCAGTCTGAGGCCGGAGGCAATATGTACATGATTGCCCTCAGTATTATGATATTAATTCGTCCTCCATGCGAATACTGTATACTACCGAGGGCGTTTCGAGGTCGCCACGTGTGGGAAATAGATTGTGTTACAACAACCTTGTTCAAGTCTGAGATGCAATTTACGCCAGACATCGGAGTCATCCATTGATATGGGTAGATATTCAACCTGTATGGGTTGAGACAGTTGGAATGCGTGTTACGCAAAATAAATCACTCCGATCGCTATCTTATACTTACCTAACTTTCACACTTAAAATAGTCCAGAATGATGATCATTGGGTTTATCTGGATCAGCTGATAAAAGAGCAAATGGGTTGTTGGATATGAGCTGGGGTTTGTGCAAACCGCTGATCCTTCAGACCAAAGTGAGAAGCTGATTGGTGAGACCCGAACTAATGGGGGCTTCGAGCCGGAAAATCTCAGCGACTTGATGGGGACCGGAGTATGCTATTGTAACTGAACACGGGCTGGTGCTTGTTTCTGTGTCTTGAATTATGCTAATGGGTTCTTGACGGATAAAACTATTAAGCTCCTACCGAGTGCACAATCGAATGGAAACTGTACTAACTTTCGTCACTGTATTTCCCAAATATTTATTGCTTGCTGTTCATCTTTTAGACTTTTCAGTACCAGCGCAGGTAGTATCGTCTGTCATACCGCGACGGGGAATAAACGCATTGTGACTATGTGTAGCTGGCATATTTTCTGGATCTAACAAGAGTTATAACTGAAAACCTCGTAGACACGGGGGAAATAGGGCATGCGGTCTCCCAAAATTCTTGTTTCCTACATCATCATAGTGTACGAAAACTCCAAAAGATCCAGTTAACGCAAGTCGTGTACTGATGTGGGAAGTGCGAATATCATTTCGGTTATGCTCCTGTGCTGGTCATAGGGAATAATTGACTTTGTCTTTTGACCAACCACTTAAGGTAGCTTTTGCGAAGATGGTTCCAACGATAGTCATACACTGATATCCATGATTCATAATTGGTATTTTGAACACGACCGGCTGAAACCAGTTTTAGTGGTGAAGAGGGAAGTAGTCGTCTTGTGTTCTGTCTGGAACGTGCTCTGTGTTGCTCATCAGTTGTAGTGGGGTCAAATATTCCGTTTGCAGAGGGGCAGCGATAAATCAGAATAAGTACATAGAGACGCAGACCTAGGACACAGAAATGTTTCGCGAGAAAAACATTAGGGAATCGCCAATCAATCAAGGCGACAACTAATGCACGACATACAATCCGCAGTTTGCCACAATGATGACGTGAGAAAAACCGAACCACGATCGATGTACAGATCTAGAGACTCGAGTTAACCCATTAGGAACAGTGCATGATAGAAGAAGCATGCTATTGGAAAATTTTTAACTGAACGGTCGGAGATATGCAAACAACATGAATCGTTCATAATCCTGCTATGTGGTTTGGAATTAAATGTGTACAGTGGAGCGTGGGTGTGACTTGGCTTTGAATTTGATCAGTGCATGTTTGTTCGACCTGTCTGCCTGCCTTCTACATTACGATAGAACCCAAGTGCATACAAGTTCTATTTGTGAAATATGATCGCTAGGATCACGATCATCTGTTTGAAATAACTTCATTTTCTTTGCCTCCTTCCAGTTAGGCCCCAGCCCTATCCATCTTGTACTTTATCACTTAACTTGTGTACACTGTCAGCTTGGCAGCGATCAGCGAAGTTCACTACTCTGTATCTCACCGTAAGATGACGATACTACAGATTATATAATATTGTTAATCACGACAAACTGATAAAATCATCGGTGATAAGTTTGCAATTGTCATGGATTTTGCAAAGTTATAGATTAACACCATTTGCTTGCAAAACTAGGCTTCCATCTTTGAATCACCATTGGTTCAGCAAACTGCAGTAAACATGAATTGAGGTTGGATAGTGTTGTAACGTTCGGATAACGACAACACCGGACTAGTCTGAAGCGTGACCCAAAACGGAACGAGCGGTAGGACTGACCACGAACAGGAACCAGAGCGACCCAGTGACCGAGAGAACAACAAGAATACGCTCAACTGCGGTACTCAGCGCCATTCCCAAGAAAACCGGAAGAAACGACCTGCGAGAGTCGTACGATCCCGGAAACCAACGGTTGAGTTTGCGTTTGGCTCCAACCTATAGAGGATGACTATGGACAACTAATCCGTTTACGCATGGTTTCGGGACCGGACAACAATTGAAAATTAGCTCGAAATTGAAGAGTTCTGAAAGGATGTGCCAATCTGTGGCCGGTGATGTGGACTGAGATTTTCCGGTTCAAAAATTTGGAAATTCAAATTTTATAAAAAGACGACACAGGTCGTAGGCAAACATGTTTTCGGTGAGTTCCTTATCAAGCCAGTATAATCACATTTTGTGTGAAAAAATAACGGGAAGGTGTTGTTGGGGTCAAATAATTACAGCAAACGAGTGGGGTCAGCACACGTTTGTCTTTAGTTCCCTTGTTCAAATAAGAACGGGTCACGTAAGCGTTGATAATCGATTCGGATCATCGCAACGCCCATGCGTGATGTCCGCTTTGGGCCAGGGAAGTTTAAGTGACTGAACAAGAGATTTTAGCATACAATTCTGGTTTCAACAAGCGGATGATAATTGCCTCGACTGTTGCTAGCGTTTTACTTCGAACAGCTTTGGATTTCCGACGACAGTTTCGGCCTCAATGATGTGTTGTTGAACTTCAATATGGCACACTCAGGGCTACGCTTTACAGTTGAGAAGGAAGAATATAACGAATTACCATACCTGGATGTTAATTTAACGAGGCGTTTGGATGGCTTCATTCAGTGAAAGGTGCATCGAAAGGCCATATGGAAAGGACAGTACTCAAACTTCCATAGTTTTGTACCGCTCGCTTACAAGCGTATCTTAGTGCGCTGTCTTCTATTCAGAGCAAGATACATCTGCTCAGAAGACAATTTANGTTGTGTGAAAGACGCTGTCCGAAAATGGCTACCCGGAAACGTTCATCAATCGCAACTGATCCCGAAAGAACAAAACAGGTGGTTGCAGATAGGGCTGAGAAAAAGACTTTAATCATCAAACTTCCGTTCAAAGGAGATCCAGCAGCAGAAAGGGTTATTAGAGTCCTGAGTGCCGCAGTTAAAGCAACATTCAATGATTCCACACTCAGATGCGTGTTCTCGATATCACCCGTCATTCAATGTCGGAACAAGGACAAGTTGCTTATGTTGACCTCGCCAATGATCATCTATCAATTCAAGTGCACCTATGGTGCCCCTTATGTAGGTCTTACGACAGGGCAGCTACCTAAACGCATCAAGGAACATCAACCCGCTTGGCTTAGACACGGAGAAATCGGAGTTATTTCCAGTTCCATTGTTGCACACTTGGTCGAAACTGGACATAGGGTGGATGCTAATTCGGCTTTCACGATCAATTATCACGTCCCACAACACAAACCCAGGGCTGTTCGAAGTAAAACGCTAGCAACAGTCGAGGCAATTATCATCCGCTTGTTGAAACCAGAATTGTATGCTAAAATCTCTTGTTCAGTCACTTAAACTTCCCTGGCCCAAAGCGGACATCACGCATGGGCGTTGCGATGATCCGAATCGATTATCAACGCTTACGTGACCCGTTCTTATTTGAACTAGGGAACTAGAGACAAACGTGTGCCGACTCTACTCCTTTGCTGTAATTATTTGACCTCGACTATTTGACTCCAACACAACACCCCGCTATTTTCTCACATAAATGTGATTGTACTGGTTTAAAAAAATGTCTTTTTACTTCATACATACGCACATTTAACCCAGTGTTCTCCTAGTCGTTTCTCATGAACTCATGATTTGTCAACCGCACGTTTCGCAAACACGTAGATCAATCCAACACCTGAGAAAACCATTTATAAATCTACTGAATAATCAATCCATGTATATGAATGGCTGAATTGATAATCGGAAATAAATCTCTTCGCATTTCTACTTGATTCTTTCCATATCCGTTGGAATGGCGTTTTTGCAAGGATGGTAAGCAAACAGTGCTGTAAACAGTACACTTTGCATGTTCTTTCGTTAGAATTAGACCAAGATCTTTAGATTTTGATTGATTGTCTGGCTTTGAGCGGTCTCGAGCATTACGAATGTGGGGCTTGTGAAATTTGTGTGACTCAGTAAATTTCACCTTGACTGTGTCGAGAACGTCCTATACAGCCTTGAATCACCACATTGTATGGCTCATTGATTGTGTAAAACATTTACTCGAGAGATCCT